AAATTTTAAAAAAAACTGAATACTAATCTTCTTATCTGACTCCCAAAGCACGTACCACAGGGAAGGCAATGAAAATGCTAATTATTCCACTGACACCTCAGCCACGGCGATTCCTTATTTATCTTTGTGAACACTGTACTTAACGTAATTAATGTTCAATGAATAAAATTATCGTTACTCCTTTATAAGGATCAGTACTTCCCACTCTTGGTGTCCTCTTTGTTAATTCTAATACAAAGTATTCAGGATGGACATGAATATGTAACTTGGAGGGAAAAGCAATCACATTATTTTAGAGGTCTGCATATCATGAAATTTTATTAATATTGTGCCAACTGGCAGGAAGAAGGAGGAGTGAGAGAAGGAGACACTGTTCTGGAGGAATAAAATGTTAAACAAAACTCAGCACTGCCTGGTTTCTCAACATCAATGCGTTAACCACGTAGAGGGCAGTGTAAACCATTGTTTGTAGGATGCATAAATAAGTACCTGTTTACTGCACCAACTGAGAGGAGACATTTCAGACCCCTTTCCCTACAAAGTCACTTAGAAAAACAATTTTTGAACTACAGTTAAATCATTTTTACTTAACAACTTAACTAATTTGGTATTTTCCAGAATCATAGAATTGTTCATTTCAGAAATAAATTTGCCAGCAATATTTGCTGTTAGACAGCACCCTGAAACAAGAAAATATGCTCTATCCATCATCAAGCCAGGGTCCAAATGTTATGCATCTAGCTGTGGCATGGCAGTGTTCAGCTCATTTCTTAATTAACACTCACTTCAGACAGCAGATGGCCATCGACGTGGCCAGCCTCCTGAGCAGTGGCACACAGCCTTCGTGCCCATCATCTCTATTTAAATTAAGAGATTTGAGATGCATTGGTGCAAATGAGCAGATGAGCACGACATGACAAAAAGCCAGATCTGTGCACCATTTTGTAATGGCTTGGACCTTCAGCGTCCCCTTCAGGCCCACATGCTAAGGGCTTGCTCTCCTGTGGTGCTCCGGGAAGCGGCAGAACCTTTGGTGTAGGTGAGGCCTAGCAGAAGGAAGTTAAGTCATGGCTGGGAGTGAGACCCTCGAAGACAATGCTGATCTCTCTCTCTCTCTCTCTCTCTCTCTCTCTCTCTCTCTCTCTCTCTCTCTCTCTGCTTCTTTGCTGCCCTGAGGGAAACAGCTTTGCTCTGTCTCGGGCTTCATGCTGTCTTACCACAGGCCCAGAATCAATGGAGTCAAAAAGGCATGGACTGACGCCATGAGCCAAAACAAATCTCTCCCCTTTTTAAGCTGGTTACTTCAGATATTTTGTCACAGCGATCTGCATCAGACTAACACATGTTTTGTTTTCAGAAAACTCTGAAGTTCTATCATTTTTCTGCCTGCAGTATTTATCAGGGTCAACTAAGGTTGAATTCACTTAGTTGCTTGTAAAAAGGGGAAACTCCTATCACATGGAAATTACCCCATCTGACATGTCACCCTGACACTGGAAAAGTTACTGCCCTTCCTATTCAGGAAGTACTAATGTACTGTAAAGACCCACTGGGGGAAAACATTAAGTTGCCTGTCAGTGCCTCCTGTAGAGATGTGAAAGTAACCTAGTTCACATTCAGTTAATGTTATTTTCTAGTGAACTAAGTTATCATTATATCTCATTGGTGAAATTCATATCAGTGGGCACCATCTTGTAGGCCACAAAGAATGCTGCCACTGGCATATTTATGCTGCTCCTAATCCAGTAGGGTGAAGCCGCAGAGTGGTAGGCTCACACCATGTCATCCAGGAGGGTTGTCATGGCTCCCCATGGGGCTTTCGTGACTATGAAAGAGCTCTGGATATCCAAAATACCTTGACTTCCCCTTAGAAAAATATATTTCATTTGTGATCCAGAGAGGAGAACTACTCAAGGCATTGATTGATTGATTGATCGATTGATTTGGTACAGGGTCTCCCGACACAGCTCACATGCATAGTGATCCTCCTGTGTCAGCCTCCCCAGCACTGGGTTACACACATGCACCACCACCGCCCAGTTTCAGTGCCTGGCACAGCCTGCGGTATTAGGAATTGAACCTGGCCGTTGAGCTTGCCAGGCAGGTGCTCAGACCACCAAGCTGTCTTCCCAGCCTTCTACTCAAAGCTTTGGGATTAAAGGCTAGGTATATGGATTTCAACAAGTCCCTAAGTGACACAAACATGATAAGATCAGACACCTTGGGCTGACTCAGAGTGCTTCAATCCACAGAATTATTATTTAGCACTAACTACAAGTTTCCCAAAGCCAGAGCCCAGGCATCCCCTCCCATGTTCTCTGACATGTGAGCCCCTGAAGCCTCAATGCCCTGCCCAGTTCACCTGAAACTCCCATCTTGCCCTTCAAGTTGGCTTCAACCAAAATTCCATCAACGAAGTTCTAACTTCCTCATTTCTCTGGATGCAATTAGAAACCTGATTCCAACCACCAGTTTATTTTTTTAAAGGAAGTGTCACATTACCATACATTGTTC